TATATCCTGACAGTAGAACATGATTCAGATAATGTGTGTGTGGTTCCTCTGGTTCTTCCTGGTGCTCCTGATGGTGTTTACAAGAATCCACCGGACCTGAATGAAATCAGAGCTGAGAAAGATAGAGAGATGCTTTGGGTTGGTGGCTTGAAGATAGTTGATTGTTGATGTCTCATTTCCAGCATCCCAAAGCATCTGTATTTGAGAATGAGACTCAACAATCAACTCTCTTCCTCAGCTCTGATTGGGTGTTTTCATTCGGGCTCAGTGGATTCTTGTAAATGCCGTCAGGAGCACCAGGAGGAACCAGAGGAAGCTGGTTGTTTCACACATTATCTGTCTCCTGTTCTACTGTCAGGATAAAATGAAAGTTTTAGCAAATATGACAAAAAGTTCTTTTTATGAAAGTTACCTACAGCAGCTTCAGATAAATGTTTTGCTGCGTTTTGGTCCGGCTAAAAACTAAATGAAATCATTGTTTTATTTATGCTGTTGTGGCTGCATGAATACAAGAAGCTTGGCATTGTTGTGGTTGTTTAAGGGCTCCGGGTGACTGTGAATAAAAATAATGCAGCTTGTTTGTATAATCACACAGTATTACTTTATATTTATATTCTGCATGAATCATGGACCAATCTTAGCTCGCTAGCAAGCTGGCTAAGATAAACACAGCAGGGTTAGGTTTCAAAGAGCTGATTGTTGTGTCAATCAACTCTCTGTTTTCCAGTTTGAAGGTGAGAGAATCAGCCACCTCTACTTCATCACCTTCTTCATCGCTGGCTCCGTTACCATGGTGACTGCCATCTTAGCAGCCTGTGGGGCCCATAAGAAGAATGTGGTGGCTTTAATCACGGTAAACTGAAACACAGTTCAGGACACGAGGCAATACAAATACTTAAAGGGGCAGTTCACCCAAAAAAACATTACTGAACTCTGACTGTGTAGATTGTGAATTAGACTCTCTGTCATTGAAAGACAGCTAACGTCAGAGGGTTATGTCAAGGGAAAGCTAGCTTGTGAGATAGCTTATAAAACAGGCTGAGTTTAGTTATTGATTTTCTAACATTTGGGTTATTTAGTTCCACATAATGAAATAAAACAGCAACTAAATCAATTCACCATGGAGAACAAAAAGAAAACAGTTTTACTCTACAAAATACTTTTCCTGCTCAAAAGTAAAATCTAAATAATAAATAAATGACGACAGAATGAACCACTACCTAAATGTAATTCATGTTTTTGGCTGGAGACAGATATTAAACTATCTACATGGTTCTGATGATTTCTGATGCAGTTCTGGGACTTCAGGTTTCAGGTTGTCTCCTTCTGCTGTTGCTGGTGTGTACGTTGACTACGAGTCTGCTGCTGATCGCCCGACCCAAGGTAACCAAGCTAATCAGATCACTGATTAAATACAAAAAGAAGAACTGACTGACTCCTGAATAAAACTCCTGTTTATAGCTGAGTCTGACTGAGGAAAGGTGCCGTTCGTTTCTTCCCCTGGATCAGGCTGCAGATGACATCAAGAGTCAGGTTGAAGCTCTGCAGACATCAGTAAGATGCTAACACACTCATTCTGGGGATTTTCACATTAAAATAACATGTTGGGAAATATAAAATAGTGTGTAAGGAACAGTGTGCTGTTCTGTTCTGTGTGGTGTAATGAACCCTGCAGCCTGTAGGGGGCACTAGCTCTTCTTGTTCTCTTGTGTTTAGCTGCACTGCTGCGGTCTGTTCAGTTACCAGGACTGGGAGGACCACATCCCCGACTCCTGTGTGTGCAACCAGGAGGAGGAGATAGAGGGCAAGTGTCAGACAGTGAGCTACAGGGTGAGTTTCAAACATTTAATTATATTCTGTCTAACTAATATACAATTGAAGACAATAAATGAAGGCAAAAAAAGGTTTAAACATTTAAACAGAGTTTAATGAACTAACCCCCAGAGGGAGGGAGACATATTATGGATCCAGGACAGATTCATAAAAACATCTTTAACTGAGTGTCAAATTGAGGCACCAAAACTGAAAGTGTATAAGAGAAATGTAATCTCTATTAGGGCTCGCCTTATAAAACTGCCTAAAAAGCCTAAAATTGCTTCATGTTCCCCGTTTCCTCTTCCAGAACTTTTTGTTCAACCTTTTCTGGCAGAAGAAGTCCGTCTTCAGACAGGTCAGTGGACAAATACAGCAACCTGGAAATTTAGAGACTAGTTCTCCAGGTAAACACCTGGAAGTTTCCCCTTAAGGAGAAATGTTGGGAAGCACTGTACATTAGGAGGAAGGTAGGGAATATGTTATAATGAAATTGAGGTGAACTGACTCTTTACTTTCAATAAATTTAAACAGTATACTCATATACTGCTGGATTAAAGGGGAACTTGGCAACTTTTTCAGCTTAATAAACCCGTTTAGAAATCATTTGGATGGTTAAATGGCCTG